AGATTGATAGATAGATAGATAGATAGATAGAGAGAGAGAGAGAGAGAGAGAGAGAGAGAGAGAGAGAGAGAGAGAGATAGAGAGATAGACAGATAGATAGATAGATAGATCGATAGATAGATAGAGAGAGAGATAGAGAGATTTGTACCTAAACAAAACACAAGTCTAACACCAAGCGTTTAAATCAGCACTGGTAGCGATATTTTATACTTCATGCTATCTGCACAAACTATGTCATATGAAAAGCTGAGAGTCCACAGATTATATTGGTATAAGTTTCATCCCTGTGCGATCAAAAATCACTGTTCTACATGATAAATAAAAGAACATTGTACCTTGAAAATCAATAGCGGGTAAATTTGACCCGTTGGCGGTTTTAGGTATACAGCGACCTCTGGCGGTTCTAGTGTTAAGCTCATTTGCAGGTTCATATTTGTATGTAGTGTCTCTACTGTGACATGTCTCCATGCTTTAAGGTTCAAACATCTCTTTATTTTTCTCATACTGCCTATGCTGCAGCACTTCTTTTCACCCTCTGTCTGAAACCAGAGCCCAGTCTGCTCTGATTGGTTAGCTGGCCTGCTCTGTTGTGATTGGTCGACAGCTTAATGATGTGTCATAAATGTCCTGCCCCTTAGCCTTAGTATCACGTACAATTTGTTGGAGCGCTAGCCAATAGAAGCGCGAATGTTACATACTCATGTCATTATGTTACGGAAGTCAACAAAAGAGTCCAATGGAGGCGTTTCAGGGGGGGGGGGGGGGGATTTTAGCCTTTGCAGACCATTTAAATGTACAAAAACCTACATAACACACTACAGGAAAGGGAAAACCTCAAAAAGCATAATAGGGCCCTTTTAAGTATATACAGGTTGTAAGGCTGGATGGAAGGCCAGCTTATTAAGTTGACTACGACACGGGAACAATTCAAATGTGCCAAATTGACACGCAACATTTCTTGAAATGTTTCATTCTATTTATGAGCCTTCCCCTTGAGATCATATTTTCAGGTCATTAATGTGTCATTTTTCGATTCTTGTGACATTCAATCAATGCAGCTTTAAATAGTTATTTCAGGAGTCTGTGTCTCTGATTGACATTTTGTGATTGAGCGTGGTTGATTCGCAGTGGATATTTGTCTCCATCATAATGAAATATAATGATTAGACTCTGACATCAATAAATGACATCAATGAATGTCATTTGATGTATAAACTCGCTTTCAGTAAAAACTTGAAGAAAGGTTGGCATTTATAGATACTAATGGCCATTTTCATTATCAAGCACAAATCAAAGTGTTTGTTGATGGTGTGTTTGGAAAAGACAGAGCTCAAAGAAGACAGATGTATCTTGCAGGGAATAAGATTTATTTTAAAATTGTTTTTGTGGGCAGTATGTTAGTAAACTGCCAGCATTTTCAAATATATTCATGTACTGATGAACCCAGTTTCCATCCTATCAAGTTGTGCTGAGCTTTGAGGGAAACTTAAGCATTCAAACTAGGACTTAATCACTAAGCCAAAAATAACGATTGTACTCCAGGAATGATCTGGGAAACACACCGAGTCAGCCTCTCTCTCCTTTCATCTTTCTCTCTACAAAGCAGAGGAGCTGGATTCTTTGAAAAATGACCTCAGAGAGAAAGGTAGACGGCAGCAAATGAGAAACTAAGTGTGTCACACAGGCAAACTTAAGCAGCTGCAGAATTAACAGGAAGAGGGCTTCAAAGCTGCTGGTTTCGCTCAGGGGCGGGGTGTTATAGGGTACGGGGCAAAAGAGGTGGGGAGAAGAGAAAGGAGAGGAGGAGGTCAGGTCTGTCACGATTTAAAGAGACCGGTTTTTGCTTTTTTAGGTTTTCCCTTTCCTATAGTGTGTTATATAGGTTTTTGTGCAGGTCTGCAAAGGCTAAGACTCTTTTCTTTACTTCTGTCACATAATTACATCAGTATGTAACACTTCTATTGTACGCATTGTGTATGTACCACATTGTACGTGATACATTTACGTTGATACATTTACAACACATCTCTAAGAGGTTGACCAATCACAACAGATCCGACCAGCTAACCAATCAGAGCAGATTGGGCTCTGGTTTCAGACAGAGGGTGAAAAGAGGTGCTGCAGCACAGGCAGTATGAGAAAAATAGAGCGTTTTGAACATTAAGTAGAAGAGGCACCAAATATAAATATGATCCTGAAAATAAGCATAATATGTCCTTTTTAATATAAATATAAACAATTAAATTGACTGTACTTAACATCATTTCGTGTCAGTCTGTGATGTCATTGGGCCCAAAAATACTGTTTCCACCCAAAAAGACGAAAATCACCATGTCCTATATATAATATGTTCCATTGTTGGAGGAGCTTGGGACCTACGATTTTCATTGCCATAACTACACTGTAGCTAATGTGCAGTGCATATGATAATAAAACCCTTGAATCTCAATGAGAAAGAGATGTCTGCAAATCACCATATAATGTTTTATGGGCTGAATCTAACACCCTGACCCAATATGATCCCTTTTATAGCACTTACTTAAATGATTAGGGTCTAAAATGTGCCAAATGCGCAGAATATTTTCTGTCTCCATTCATTTGTCTAAGGCGAACCCAGCAGATTGGAGGCGTGGCTTAAGGAAAACTCATGAGTGCATGCTTTATGGGCCCAAGTCCTCAGATGATCATGGCACTATTTGAATCAACAGTTTATCCGTTTTGGGTTTCATGCGCCACTCATCAACTTTTCATATGAACAGCAGGCCGCCTCCAACTCTGTATCGAGTTCTCTTTATACATCAATGGTCACTTGTGGTTTAAAAAAAACAGGATGTCTACAACAAAATTGACAAACTCTTTAGAACCATGGTTCACCATTGTGTCTGAGAGCACCAATTTAACACTAGAACCGCCAGGGGTCGCTGTATACCTAAAACCGCCAACGGGTAAAATGTACCCGCTATTAGAATGCATTGATTTTCAAGGTACAATGTTCTTTCTATCTATATCTCTCTATCTATACTCTATCTATCCTCTATCTATCTATCTATCTATCTAGCTATCTATCTCTTCTATCTATCTATCTATCTATCTATCTATCTATCTATCTATCTATCTATCTATCTATCTATCTATCTATCTATCTATCTATCTATCTCTCTCTCTCTCTCTCTCTCTCTCATCTCTCTCGCTCTCCCTCTATCTCTCTATCTCTCTCTAATCTATGAGGACCGCAGGTAAACAAACAGGCGTTGCTATAGCAACACATGTTTATGTTTTACGCGAGAGATCAATAGCGCGAGAATCACTTGCATTTTCTATAAGGTAAATATTACCCGCTGGCATTTTTTCAATCTGACTTCATATTGACCATTTTTAACAACAGAGGGTGCTACATAACACACTTTCAGGAAAAGTCACAGACTGGGAGAATAAGAATAATTTCACATCTGTTGGAGCAGTGTATAGGAAAATGAAATACTGCACACTGTTAGCATTGAGTTAATTAGAGATGTCAGGTTTTTAGTCAGGCCCTTCATCATGCATCAAATTCGTAATGTAAAACAAATCTCAATCATTACAGCATGTTGTCCATGTCATAATTGCCTCTAGCATTTTGAGATTTGTACTGCTCTTGATTAGATGTTGCAGCATGTGGCCTAAGCACAAATATCTGTTGTTATACACTCAAAGTGTGTGTTTTATAACTCAGTGCTACTATTTTATATATGTAGTCACTGTCTAACATTTGCACAGTAGGTATTATAAGAATAAATGCCAAGACTACCGTCAGCAGTCACTGTGTGTTTTACATTTGGTTGCCCTGCAGCTCTGTCTACAGATTTGCTTCATTTTCTAGTATGCACTTTGCTGGAGGCAGCAGACGTTAATTACAATGTCAATGGCAGATTGAACGTCTACTCAATCAATAAAACATCAAAATGAACATTTTCTTCACCTGGTTGGACACATATCCCACACACTAGTGTTTTTTGCTCACAGTTATCAGTATTTTGGCTGGTGTTTTTAATTCTCTACAGACCATGTTATTCATTTTTATTCTGTGCATACAGCCCAGTCTCCTCCTGTATGATTGCTTGGAAAACAGAACTGATCCTCCTCTCTATACATTGTGCTGTATAAAATCATGGTGTTAAAAGCTAGCAGGGAGTGTGATGTCGGTGCGCAGTGATGCAGTGCTGCTCTCACTGATTTGGTTTGGTTCTGTTGTTTTGTTATTAGCGACTGGCTGGAGGCTGTTTGAGTGAGTGATGAGGAGCGGTGTCTGAAAAAAGCTTCAGGGTGGCCTGGGTTGGAAAATAGAATCTGTCACACACACACACACACACGCACACACACACGCACACACGCACACGCACGCACACGCACACGCACACGCCACACACACACACACACACACACACACACACACACACACACACACACAACACACACACACACACACATGCATCTACACAGACAGACAATAAAAATACGTCTGATACTCCAACACAATAACTCAGCTGTTCATAAACAGTCCAATATCTCAGGGGTTCTCAAACTTTTTGTTTATGCGGACCACTATTTATTATCAAGGATTTTCGCGGACCACCTCATATGTTAACCGTAAAAATAAGTACATATATAAACAAACTGGCTTGTAGATGCCTCCGACTCACTCTCATTATCTTCATTAACGGTAACGTTAACCTCTTTTCTCTTCAGGGAACCTGATGCTAGCCACCGATCCATGTTTGTGGTTTTACACGCGCACACGTAACCATGGGTAACCAGTGGTGAAATTAAGTGTTGTCCATAATTAACAATAACAAATATCTGCGTTTTAACACTACATTTATATATGTACTTATTTTTAAGTACTTTATTTTTATTTTTTCACGGACCACCTGCAGGTCCGCGGACCACAGTTTGAGAACCGCTGCAATATCTGACCCCCACCACACCCTTAACTAAAATCTGTTCTTCTTCTCTCTTTGCAGATGCGTAGTACTCGAGGTGTTTCAGTTTGGCCTGTGGGATTTGTAGGCGGCAGAGCGTACGAGCGGCCCCTGGTATCTGGGGGTAAAGTCGTGGGCTGGTACACCGGCTGGAGACCGGACCGACCCTTCGCCACAGACATGGCAGGTAAGAAACAATACCTATACCAACCGGAGAGTACTCCAAATGTTTTATGAATGAAAATCAGTTCACCTGGATTTGAATTTAGCCTATACAAATGGCTGTAAAAGAAATTCTGTAGGTCAAGTCTGTGAAAATGGGACAAGAAAACCTGAAAGGCAGGGAGCATCTAATGAACGAAAGTGACACATTTCTGTAGGCTAACCCGAAAGTTAGCATGGCTCCCTTGCCTTAAATCAATGGGATTTTCTATTGGATTTCTGATTTAAAAAAAAAATTAAGATCTGTGGCAAACACACGTTTATGATACTCACACGTTTAATTCATCTGAATAATCTCTACATATTAAAATCACTTTCATTAATTTGTAAGCATCAATGCCATCTCCCGAAGTAAAAAGCTGACTATTATATGCAGCATTTAGTAGTCTCATTTAGTCACTTGTTAGCAACCACTGTTTTTATGAAACAGAAACTTTAGACATTCACCTGTGGGGTTTTTACTGACGTATTTTATGTCATAGAACAAAACTTGAAAATCTTTTTAGCTTGTGTTTACCACAGAGCTTATTTCAGACATCGAACCATAAACACGTTCAAACAAACATTGACTAGGAGACGAGGGAACCAGTAAAGCTAAATGCTGACTCCTTTTTTGTTTTTAGGACTCATTCCTGCGTCACAAATGTCTTCCACAAGCTAGCTTAACAACAAACACTCAGAAAGAATTGTTTTCTGATTGAAATGGAGAGTGAAGACTAAAACATCTCCAGTAATATATCTACGTCTCCATATTTCTAGTGTAAAAATCTAATCAGAGCAGTGTTGGAAACATAATTCATCACACTGACCAAATAATGATCCTGCTATCACACCCACACATCTGCTGGAAACACGTTATGTTTCCAACAGGGCCCTAATATGCTTTTTGCTTTTTCCTGTAGTGTGTTCTATAGGTTTTTGTGCATGTAAATGGTCTGCAAAGGCTAAAATCCCTGTCCCCCCCTGCCTGAAACGCCTCCATTGGACTTCTTTGTTAACTTCCTGAACAAAGTGACATCATTATGTAACACTCACGCTTCTATTGGCTAGCGCTCCAACACATTGTACGTGATAGGCTAAAGGGCGGGACATCTCTCATACATCTCTAAGCAATTGACCAATTACCACGGAGCCGGCAAGCTAACCAATCAGAGGGTTTTGGTTTAGGAACAATAAATCATGAAAACATGTCATAATAGAAGCACAAAATACAAAAATTAATGTAAAAATAGTCTCAGAAATTATAATTGCTTTTCATTTCAAACACATATAATGGACACAGCTTTCTCTGTGTGTGATAGCATGCATGTACCCACCATACACACAAATACACACACATTCGAACAGGTCTGCCCTTGAGGTTATTGCTGATTAAATCATCACAGGAACAAGCTTCTCTTTTTTTTATCTCCTCAACCTTTCCTCTTTCACAACGGACAGAATCTCAACCTCCCCATCCTCCTCCAAACCATCGCATTCACCTAATCTCTGTCTCTCGTTCACAAGCACACACACGCACGCACGCACGCACGCACGCACGCACGCACACACACACACACACACACACACACACACACACACACACACCACACACCACACACACACCCACACACACACACCACACACACACCCACACACTGTAATTATAAGCATAACTTTAAGACTCCACTATATAATTACGCTGTCAATTTGCAGCGCTAAGATTTAGTGCCAGGGCTGTATTAGCGAGCTTTTTGCTTTAACTTCTCCAGGAACAACAATGGCTCTGCCACGCGGCGGCCAAAATGTAATTCAGTCTTTAAATTATTATTCATAGAATCTAGAATTGGTTGTCCACAGAGCGTTGAATGAGTGCCAGCGCGTGTCCTAATAGCATTGTGTTATACAACGCTGTTTTGTTAGCACATCACTTAAGCCTCCCATCTCCTGCTTTGTCTCATTGAGCAAGACACAATGAAGCCTGGACAAGGACAATGCAGAGAAGTGTTCCCTTCATTGTTTGTGTGTGTGTGTCTGTGGTTATAGACGCACATACACTACATTTGTACATCATGCTTCGATTTCAAAGACACGCAACAACACACCTGTCTGCAAGTGCACGTGTTTCAGGACACGGTCACACACATGCAATTTCTCCAGAAGCACATTAGAGCTGCATCTTTGCAAAACAAGGGGAATTAGTATATGTGTGCACACACCAGACAAAGCAACACAAAGACGGTCGTACCTTGGTGGAAGTGCCTCGGAAGTGTTGTCCATGATAGAGACATAAAGTGTCTCACCCCTAGTAACCCCAGTGTTTATACCATGTTGCTGAGATGGTGAGATAAGAAAGGGAAAGGGACAGTGTGCAGGAGTAAGAGCCTTCTCTGCAATTTAGTAATTAAGTCTGAATTTCTTATGAATAAACTAAACTCACATGCAACATTTGTGTCACTTGTAGAGCAAGGACGCAAGCATTCTTCTGGGATAAAGTGGCATTGCGGAGAATTCCTGGGAAATATCCTGATTTCCAAAAGTGTAGCTTGTTAATGGACGTTTTGCAGACCTACTTTACATTACATGTCATTTGTTAGACGCTTTTATCCACTTACATACATTCAATACTGTGGACAATCCCCACAGGAGCAATTTGGGGTGAAGTGTCTTGCCCAGGGACACAACGACATGCTGACTGCTGTGGGACTCGAACTTGCTACCCCCTGATTTGAAGTCCAGCACTCTATCCACCAGAGGTGTGGACTCGAGTCACATGACTTGGACTCGAGTCAGACTCGAGTTACCAATTTGATGACTTTGACTCGACTTGACAAAATCACAAAACACTTGCGACTCGACTTGGACTTGAACACCAATGACTCGGGACTTGACTTGGACTTGAGCCTTCTGACTTGAGGTGACTTGATAATTTAATTCAGAGGTCTCCAACACGCCGATCGCGAGATGCCGCTAGAAGAGCAGACTCCCGTCGGGGAGAGCAGAATCTCCAGCCGCTGCAACTCTTGCTGAGAATCCATGCAGGCAGGGCGGGACTTTATTTTGCTGAGCCACCATGCGGCCAATCATATGCGAGGACACACTAGGATCATACCATTATGTGAAAGAAGGGTGGGGGGCAGACGCTCCAAAGACAGCAGGTGTAGTGGTACAGGCCAGCTACACAGAGCGACGGGGAGACAGATTTAAATGCAAGCGCGTCGGAAAAAGTCAAGAAATTTGCGAAAACCGAAAAAAGAAGCAGCATCTGGCTGCATTTCAATGATATTGGAGAAAGCAAAGCTGAGTGCAGGATTTGTAAAATGAAAATAACCTTCAGAGCAGGGGGTTTTTTTGGTAACCACTCAGGATGTATTGTCAGAGGTGGGAGAAGTTCAGATCTTGTACTTGAGTAACAGTACCTACCAGAGTGTAGGAATACTCGGTTACAATAAAAGATCCTGCATTCAAAATGTTACTCAAGTAAAAGTACAAAAGTATTATCATCAAAATATAGTTAAAGTACCACCTGCAGAGGGATCTAGATTCAGGTGTTCTTTTCCCCATAGAGACGCCTCGCTGCACATTAACCCTTGCATAAAGATAGGTTGTGGGTCCCTTATAACATGTTGTACACAGTGGAAATAAACATTCTGGTCACCTCAACATCAGGGATCTTATACATTAAACTCCTTCTGAATCAAACCGTCACGGTAGCCTTACCTTACTGATCCCTCTTACAATAGAAGACAAACACGTTACTTTACCAGCAGAGAGGAAATGGATTATTAAATTATTAATGTGACTAATAAAGAGCAGTTTGATTATTAAGTATTATTCTGTTGATCGATGTCATTACATTTGTTGAAAAGCACATAATGACTTGTTTAAAACTCGTTTTGTCAAAGTTTAGGACTTGGACTTGACTTGAACTTGAGCGCAAAGACTTGAGACTTGACTCAGACTTGCAAAACAATGACTTGATCCCACCTCTGCTATCCACTGAGCCTACAAATGTGTACATTTAAGGGTCTCGTGCATGTTTCTCCTCAGTGATGTTATGTTAAATGTCTGTTTCACTTGTATCTTGTCTTGGTATTCTTCCTTTTTTTTTTAACAGTTTTTATTGAGATTTCAAAATCAGAAGAAATATACATTCAATAGCATTGCATCCCACCCAATCCCGCCCACCCAACCCTCCCCACCCGTCCCCTTAATTCCAGATCTTCACAAGGATGATTGTTCATTGAGATTTTGTCCAACCAAGGTTATATGAAATAATGCCAGCACATACAATATAATACAATGTACAAGGATAACAAAGCACATCAGTGGGAAATAGTCTAGTAGTAGTAATAGTACTATTGGATTTCTGAATTTTTTTTAAAATTAAGATCTGTGGCAAACACACGTTTATGATACTCACACGTTTAATTCATCTGAATAATCTCTACATATTAAAATCACTTTCATGAATTATTAAGCATCAATGCCATCTCCCGAAGTAAAAAGCTGACTATTATATGCAGCATTTAGTAGTCTCATTTAGTCACTTGTTAGCAACCACTGTTTTTATGAAACAGAAACTTTAGACATTCACCTGTGGGGTTTTTACTGACGTATTTTATGTCGTAGAACAAAACTTGAAAATCTTTTTAGCTTGTGTTTACCACAGAGCTTATTTCAGACATCGAACCATAAACACGTTCAAACAAACATTGACTAGGAGACGAGGGAACCAGTAAAGCTAAATGCTGACTCCTTTTTTGTTTTTAGGACTCATTCCTGCGTCACAAATGTCTTCCACAAGCTAGCTTAACAACAAACACTCAGAAAGAATTGTTTTCTGATTGAAATGGAGAGTGAAGACTAAAACATCTCCAGTAATATATCTACGTCTCCATATCTCTGTAAAAATCTAATCAGAGCAGTGTTGGAAACATAATTCATCACACTGACCAAATAATGATCCTGCTATCACACCCACAC